TATGGTATTCCCATATCCCTCATTCTCAGCTGGAGCTTTCATTCACGGAGGTTAAAGGCATATTTTTTGCGTCTCCAACCTTTGTACAGGTGAGTTTGGGACACCTACAACTCCAGCTCAATTCTGATCATTTCCTCCAGTTGTAAGGGCACTTGTACAGTGACTTTCATATCCCGAATGTTCACTTGCATGCAGCTGTGAGAGGTACATGTACACAAAGATAATCATGGACATCATTGAGATTGGGTTCATTCAATGTAATCTTATGTCCATGTGAAACATCGGTATACTAATTTAACGCGAGCCACATAGGTACTCTGATAATATGCACACATGCGCTTTGGCGCCAGAAGATCCTTTTATACTTTCTCATCCTCCTTGCTTCCCTTGTCATCGTCATGAACCTCCCAACATTTTTGGTTTTCCTGCCTAGGTGCAAAATGGGTGAGTGTAACTAGTCTCCCACTTTTGATGACTGAAAGCTAAAACAAGTTGATCTCAAGTCACTGCTATGGCTGTGACGGTGTCAGAGGCTGTCTGTCAAACTGCCCAAGAGGTCTCTTTTTCATCATGCTCACAATTTCTTGGGTTCCTCTATTGATCCTCGAAACATGTAAGTGAATTAAATGCACCAAGAATCTCGATGACTTTGTTTACTTTTAGTAACATGCACCCTGACTGCATGGAAAGCCTACCAATACTGTAAGTGTGTTGCACTAATCTATTGATTCCGCAGATGTACTGACAAGGAGACAATTTGGTTGTGATTAGTCATGCCGCACAGTCTGAGCTGGTTGAACTGCATGATTGGAAATCTCTTGAGGGACCATAGGTTATCAAATTTTCCGTGATTTTGAAGGAACTAATAATCATAACTGCTTGGGTGATGGTTTGAAGGCCTACTTTATTACGTGGGTAAGTGCAATGTTTCAGAGAATAACTATCTATAAGAAAGCTGACATTTATTCTAGTTCTTCTAGGTATTCTGCCTGGCATCTGGTGTCATCATTTATTGCCTCATCTGATCTAATTACCCTATGTAAAAGGCATCACGACCCTTCATTTCCTTGTCCTATGGGCGAAGAATTTTCTGGTTGTGTCAAATGCAATTATTACCATTCAGAAAGGCATTCAACCTGCCATTTGCTCCAGGTAGGAGCATTTTCTTTTCATTTTTTCTGTGTGCCAAGATATTTAACACTTCATAGGCTGTTGCTTGACTTGGGCAGCGCAGCGAAAGCTGAGGACTCCGAGATGAGGGGCAGTCAAAATATCACTGTGACCACTTCCCCAATGGCTTTCGCGTGACAGGAGTCCCAGCAGTAGAATAAGTGATCTTAAGATAGCTTGGATAAATTCTTTCAGTATACTTGACAATTAATGCCAACACGATTGACGCATTGTACTAAGTGCCAGCTTGGGAATTGAATTTGCTTGAGGTCATTCATCCTGCCATCTAAAAGTTCCCAAAATATGAGGGTTGAACTTGGAGGCTGGAAGCTTGGCCCCTGTGGTATTGAATTTTTTTGAAGCATCCCGCACCACGATGAATAAGATACTTAGATGCCTTGGTTTAGTGCTCGGCCAGCCCAGATCAGATTCCCAGTACTCATAACCTGCTGGCACTTTTGGGTGTCACCATATCTACATCATTCATTTGGCGAAACTCCAGGTAACATTTTGATTTTTTATCTATGATACAATATGGAGGAATTGATTCCAGCCTGCTCAGTGCTCGTACGTGCCCCGCTGATTGGTGTGATCCCGGTGACGGCCTCGTAAGCTGTTACTTAACTTTCAGGGACCTGCAGGCATCGAGAAAATGGGCTGTGCAACAGGAATGGGAGTAATTGAGCTCAGCCTGTTGTCTTTGTGAAGCGTGTAATCCCACTGCCGACCTTAGGAACACCAAGGCGTCAGAGAATTCACCCTCTAGGCCTAGATCTACCTTACTGTTCACTACTGTAATGTTTCACATCTTAGTCATCTGTCTGGATTTGAGGCTTCATATCTAGTGAACGCGTCATGCAGGGAATCGCCGTCATGAGAATTCTCTTACACCGATTCGTATGTCATGCTGGTTTCCATCAGGTTCATCATCTCCAGCTCCGACTCGACCATCTATTTATCCTTCAGAACTTTGGCTTTTCATCGTTGTCTTCCTATCTCTTGGAACACTGCTCACCACTGGGACTGAGGCCTGAGGCTACGCAGATGGATATCAGTCATTAGCACCAGCTGATGATGAGGCCCACTGCATTATTTATATCCGATGGACATCGAAAGGGCACTCCTGGTACCTAAGATTGGGGATTGCCTCTGCCATTCTGAAGCAGAGGCGAGTCTGAACCGCAATAGTCCCCATTTATTCTTATGCAGTAACCTGTCGTCCAAACAAGGCAGTGTCTGCCAATTGTGTGGCATGCCTGTTCAAGTTGAGCGGTCAGATGATGAACACTCGAGACGGCGCACCAGTTCTTACGAGAATTAGGGGGATTGACACGATCACCGTGATCGTCAGCTTGGAATGATTGACGGGCAAGGTCTGTTGGCATCGTCATCTGCAAGTGAGATAGATCAGGGACGAGGAAGAGCTTTGGAGGAGGATTTGTGGTGTGTGTTGATGGTGACCGGGGACAACTGATTTAAGAGGCCGCGAGAAACTTATGGTGTGATGTACCCTTGCACATTTTGCTGTTTTGACGAGACAAACAAGCCAGGATCTTCACCAAAGCAATCTACTTGAGTACAAGCTCCTACATGACATGGATCTCGACTATACCCTTGACGAAGCGTTTGGTGGGCTAACGATCGAAAAGGTGAGCAATCGTTGTTTATCCACTGGCCATCATCATAGCTTATTCTGTCTTTTCCTATGCGTAGTATGTTGTAGGTTCGTCGAAATAGTATAGGAGATTATGCTGTTGGTGACGGCTCCTCATAGTCGCATCCACTACAGTCTTGATGTACAACATGGCCTTGACAATGGGCCAGGAGGTTCGTTCTGCAGGCCTCGGTTCCAGGTCTTCCAGCAGTTCTGATTCTAATCCTCTATCACTTCAGGTAGAAACCATGTGGCACTCCAAGAAGTCGTTCGGAATCACTCTCTTCTTTCTGGTGAGTTTTCTGAAGTGTGCAATTTCTGGGCGAATGAAGCTGAAGTGGGGAAAAGAACCACTACATCCCTCCAGTTGCGGCCATATTTTGCCTCTACGGTGTGCCAACTCGTTTACTATCACCCAAATCTAGGCTCATGACTTTCAAGGAGATTTTTTCGTGTCTTCATTCGCAGAAAAGGTGAGCAGTTCACGTCCGAACCATATACTCTTACTTGACCGCTTTTCAGTTGTACGTCCCTCCATGCAGTCTCGAGGTGCTGATCCATTGAGTACTGATCGCAGTTTCCCATCGATTCAGCTGCAAGGGCCATACTCTTGGGAAACTTCTTCTTGACCTCGTGGAAGCGATCTTTATCCAATGTATGTTCTCTAGCTATGACCGTTACATCCTCGTTCATGATAGGGCCGACTAGGTACCTTAATTATCTGCACGCACACGCTATATCAGAAGAGATCTCTCCTCATTTTTCTGAGCTCGCTTGTTGCCTTGGTAGGGCTCACAATCTTTATCTCCTTCATGATATTCGTCCCACGCTGTCTAATGGGTAGGTGTCGTCTCTCATCAATCATTCCGTCAGTGCACTAACGTGAATTACTGAACGGCCATGAAGTGACCATAGGCGATTTGTTCGGAATCAAAGGGTCTCTCCCTGTGTGATTACGAGCTTGCCTATGTCGTCACAATTTTGTGGGTACCACTCTTGATTCTCGAGTCCTGTAAGCAGCAGTCCCATGTACCAAGACTCCAGGACTCGCTGAACACTTTAGCAGTCACTTTTGTCCTTACGGCGTGGAAGTCCTATCAATCTTGCAAGAACTTCTCTACTTCAATCTGCCGAACTAAGTCACGATATATCATTTATAGACATCCCATACAACTCCTCTTGGTCAAGGAGGGTTGTTGGAATTCTCTTACGGGACCGTGAGTTCCAACTCTCCCTCAAGATTAAGAGGCAATGGCTTACCCATACTCGTATCTTCCTCCTTAAGGCTTAATTTATTACATCGGTTGGTGGCCCAAATTTTGCTGCAATTTATGTGAGCTGACTCTTTCGTCTAGTTCTGCTTGGTACGCTCTTCCTTTCAACGAAAGATTTGGGACTCAAGCATTATTAAAGGTATCACCATCTTGAGCTTTCTCTCGATGTGGTCCATCGCCTTTCCTCTCACGACATATTCCATTGTCGGCCTGCAGATGGGGCTTCAGCCAGCGATATGCACGAGGTGAACACTGCTTATGACCGCCGCGTTGTGACCAGTCCTAATCTCATTGAACTTTCAGGCTGTTACTTGATCTTCGGGAAGCCGGAAACGCTGTTGACACAAAAAATACGGCTGGAAGTGCTAATATGGGATCCATCGCGTTCGCTCATCCAACATCTGAGAGCGAGTCACAAGCAAGTTCTGCTTGATCCTGCACTTCACGAAATGCATTTATCGGATAGACAACAGCTATCGAAGACTATTATAGACCAGATAATTTAAATCATTCTATCTCCCCGAGTCATAGGAAGTTTATATGAGGAGATTTCAAATGGTGTTGACAAAATAGGGGCTACTTTGGTGAGCCGGAATCAACGGTCCGGGATCCCGCTGTTGCATCAAATAATTTTTTCCCAACCTTCGACACCAACCACATCCCATTCATACGACGGCTTCTGGCTAACGGCAAAAATCATTCTCGGAAACTCGAACTTTCTTCTCAGTTATAGTCCAAACTGTCCAAGATGTATGCAAATGGGTCTGGTTGAGTGACAGGGTTTCCCTTAGAAGTACTCCAACACCTCCCTTCTCCCTTGTGTACACCACTGGTACTGGGTTGGGCATCACCTCCGCAAACTCGACTGCCAGGTCAAGACCTGCTGTAACCCCCACCGAACTCTAAATCTTCCCATCGCGGATCCAGCGCCTGTCGCCAACCCACTGTGCTTTCTTGTATATCAACCCCTTCTCGTGGACCGTCTTGATCGCGACCTTGTTCGTGCAGACCTCGTACCCGTCCAAGAGGCCCGTATGTGCGATTGCCATGCCCTCAGTGAAGATCAGGAGCAGGCCTTTGAGGCTGTCGAAGCGCGTCTCCAGAAATTTGGGGCACCCATCGGGAAGCGGTGCGACGGGGTCGGGGCCTGGGATGAGGAGGTAATCGAGCAGCGAGCAGTCAGGTGATGATGGGCCCTTTCTCGATATCTTCCTTCGGGGGGTTCAGCAGCACGAGCATCTTCTGCGTGTGCAGGTCGAGGTAGTCGATGGGCCCGGCTGCGTCGAGCAGCTGGTAGTATGGCAGTATGAGGAGGCTGAAGCTGAGCTGGATTCCAGCCATTGCGGTGGCTATGTTGGGTGGTTGGTATTCGATTTGTCCATCTCCTGGATTGCTCAGTGAGTGGGTTGGTTCTCTCTGACTACATAGCTTAACCTGATCTTTTATATTCGAGCAGCGCCAACACTCCCCAAGGTCGAACAACCCGCATTGACACACTCTTCCAAATCTTCTCCTGAGTTTGCTGCACTTCTCCCATGTTCGATCAACGCTGGCCATTCAGACGGGATCGTCGAACATGGGACTCGGAACCCGTGAACAGATGCGGATGCCCCATACCGTATTCTCACACAGACACGATCACTCGATGGGATTGAGACGCACTACTAGCGACTCGTTCGTCTCCCGGTATGTTGCCCCAGTTTTGAAGACCGCCTTGCGGCCCATTCCTGGCGACCACGAATATCGCCCGCTTACCACCGAGAGCTGATGCCCGCCTTTTCCTGTCAGTTTCTCTATGGATCGAGCGATTTGTACTCGCCTCTAAATAGTGCTTTCACTTTCCAGTTGTCCGTCCCAGCGCTGCGCCAGCTTCCCTGTTCTTCAAGTCATAAGGTCCTCGGCAGGTGAATGTGAAGCATTAATCCTCGAAGACAGCCTCCTAGAAAGTACGTACCCCACAACTTGTCCTTGTCTGATGCTAACTCGTTACTCCATTTTATGTCTATAGATCCCTATCGCACATCAAGTATTGAATGCTATGCAAAAGACGTCCATTCCTTCCCTACAGTTGACCCTTTCCAGCCCTTCCGATCCAAGATGTACGCCAACCGGAGGCTTCGCCTTGGAGTCCAAGAGAATTTCTGTGAATGCGATGGGCCCCGGATATCCCTCTGCGAACTCTGACTTATATCTTGCCTTTGCGAAACCAACGCCATCTCTGCGACCCAGTTGATCTCGGACAGTGGGCCCTGCTCTGATGACACTCTTGGGCAGGCTTGTTCATGCACACTTTATATCCGTCGGGGATTCCCATCTATACAATTTCCATGCTTCCTAGCATGCTTTGAGCGTCTCGAAGCCCTCACAGCAGCCCCCGGAAGGTGTCCGGTTGGATAGGACCTGGAAGTGAAGTCCGGGACTGTTGGTGGTGGCAATACTAGTGCTACGACGGTGTCGCAGGCTGGCGATTGCCGGCGCAGGGAGTCCTGATTTTCCTTCTGATTTTCCTCTCAATTGTGCCCACGCTGAAATGCGAGAGATGTCCCGCTCCTATAATCAGGATCGAACGCTCTGCCTTGTAACCATCGATCCATCTAACACTTGGTTTCCCAGGCTATTCGTCTCCCACTTAAATCAGTCCTCCCTTTATCTTTCAATGTGGGTCAGAAAACTTCTGTCTTTTCATCATCTCACTCTAGTGCTTGTTTGCATCCTGGAACAACTTCTCGGTGATGAGGCTACGCAGATGAGTATCAGTTATCAGCTGTCACTGATGAGGCCCACTCCATTTATTTATATCCGATGGACATCGAAGGGGCATTCCTGGTACCTAAGGCTGACAGCTGCCTCTGTCATTCTTAAGCGGAGCGCTGGTTCGTCCAAACCGCAATATTCCTCATTTATTCTCATGTCACATCCAAAGAAGGCAGTGTCTGTTGCTTATGTGGCGTGCCTGCTGGCCAGGATAATGAACGCTGGAGACATATTGCTGGTTCCGACGAAAAGTAGGAGGATTGACACGATCGCCGTGATTGTCAGCTCAGACGGGTCGATAGGCGAGGTCCGTTAGCATCGTCGTTCACGAGTGAGACAGATCAGGGATGAAGAAGAGCTTTGGAGGAAGATTTCCGGTGTGGGTTGATGGTGAAAACCATTTTAAGAGACAGTGAGAAGCTTATGGCGCAATGCAAACTTGCCCGTTTCTCTGTGTACACAATACTAGCAAGTCAGGATCTTCACCGAAGCATTCTGCTCGAGTGCACTCCCGCACAGCATGGATCTCGACTTCACCTTGACCGAATTGTCCGTGTTCAGCGGAATAACAATTGAAAAGGCGAGTAGTTTCCGTTTATCCCGCTCGTCATAATAAACGGCTTATTCTTCCTTTTCGTGCACATAGTACACTGTAGGTTCGTCACAGTAGTCTAGGAGATTCTGCTGTCATTGACGGCCCTTGATAGTCACGTCCACTACAGTCTTGATGTACGACATGGCGTTGACAATGGGTCAGGAGGTCCGTTCTTCGAGCCTTGGTTCTGTGCCATCCTGCGTCCTGAATTTAACCGACTGCCGCCTCAGGTTGAAACCATGTGGCGCTCCAAGAAGTCATTCGGAACTACTCTTTTCTTTTTAGTAAGTTTCTCTGACCCATGAAATATCCGGATGAATGCTGAAGTGAGAAACAGAATCGCTACATCCCTCCAGCCGCCGCCATATTCTGCATCTACGGTACGTGGAGTAGTTTATGGGCAAATGAATCTGAACTCATGGTTTCAAAGGTGATTTATTCGTGTCTTCATTCGCAGAAAAGGTGAATAGTCAATGTCAGAACCATATCCTCCCATTTGACCACTTTTCAGTTGTACGTCCTTCGCAGAGTCTTGACAGGCTGATCCATTGAATAACAATTGTGGTGTAACGTCGGTTTAGCTGCAAGGGCTATACCTTTGTGAAACTTCTTCTCGACCTGGCGGAAGCGGTCTTTATTCAATGTGCGTCCTTCAGCTCTTCTCCTCGCACAGTTGCTGATAAATTCGGCTAGGTACCCTAATCATCTGCACACATGCGCTGTATCAGAAGAGATGGCTCCTCATTTTTCTAAGTTCACTCGTTGCCCTCGTAGGGCTCCCGATTTTCGTATCCTTTTTTATCTTCATCCCGCGCTGCTCAGTGGGTATGTGTTTCTCCTATTTCGGGTTTCCATTGGGCTTACACGAGTCACGAAGTGACCATAGGGGATTTGTTCGGGATCAAGGGTTGTCTGACCGTTTGTGAGTACGAGCTTCCTTACGCCGTCGGCATTTCATGGGTCCCGCTCGTTATCCTTGAGACCTGTAAGCATTTACCTCTTAGACCGGGATGCAAGCATTTTCTGAACAATTTAAAGTGACGTTTGTCCTCACGGTGTGGAAGACCTACCAATCCTGTAAGAATTCCAGGATTGCGCATAATGTTATAAACGAGCTAAAGGATCTGTAATTTATAGACAACCCGTACAACACCTCGTGGTCAAGACGGGTCATTGGAATTCTCTTGCGAGACCGTAGGCTCTTCCTCTTGGTCATAGTTATGATGATGGCTGAAATATAATCGTACCTCTTGGATTAAAGGGTTAATTTACTACGTTGGTATGTCGTTCTAACACAAGTCGCGATTTCTTTCAGCTCATCTTCGCCTAGTTCTTATTGGTAAGGCCTTCCCCTCCCCCGAAGACAAGAAATTCAGATCTTTGTACAAGGTATCACCGTCATAAGTTTCCTCTCGATCTGGTCTATGGCGTTTCCCCTCACAACATACTCGATTATCGGCCTGCAGATGGGGCTTCAGCCTGCGATCTGCACAAGGCAAGCGTTTCTAACTACCACCCCGTCCGAGTCCTTATATAACTGGGCCTATAGGTTGTTGCTCGATCTTCGAGGAGCGGGGAGCGCCGGCGACACAAGAGATACGAATCAAGTTGCAAACATGGGATCGATCGCGTTCGCACACCCGGCACGATCTGAGAATGAAACCTAAGAAAGCTCCGACACTTGAGCGAAGGCACTTAAATGCTATAAAATCCATTAAACTACTCTGTTCCAGCGGACTTGAATTGAAGTTAGTTCAAATACAAGTAATTCAAAGCATCAGACGTTTATCGGCGGTAGCCTCCCGGACCGGCGCTAAAAGATGCTCAGCATGATGACAAAGAAAGACACCGCGTTATTATGCCCTGCGACCCCTTTCAAACTCTTTGACCACAACATTACTTGCTCTCCATCTGGACATATCCTGGCACTGTATCCATTCAAACCAGCTATACAATCTCACCCGACATAATCCTTCGTTTGAACCCTGGACATGAACTTTCTCCTCAGTTGCAGTCCAACCCACCCAAGATGTAGGCAAACGGGTTTGGCTGAGCAGGGTTTTCCTTGTACTCCAAATCCTCCTTGGTGTACGCCACCGGCACTTGGTCGAACATCACCTTCGCAAACTCGACTGCCAGGTCAAAGCTTGCTGTAACCCCCACCGAACTCTAAACCTTCCCATCGCGGATCCAGCGCCTGTCTCCAACCCGCTGCACTTTCTTGTATATCAACCCCTTTTCGTGGACCAGCTTGATTGCGACCGTGTTCGTGCAGGCCTTGTACCCATCCAAGAGGCACGTATCCGCGATTGCCATGCCCCGGTGCAGATCAGGAGCAGGCCTTTGAGGCCATCGAAACGCGCCTTCAGGAAATCGGCACACCCGTCCGGAAGAGATGCGACGGGGTCGGGGCCTGGGATGAGAAGGTAGTCGAGCAACGGGCAGTCTGCGTGGGTGGTGGTGGGGTCGGTGGAGATGTAGTGCCAGGTGATGATGGGCCCTTTCTCGATGTCTTCCTTCGGGGGGTTCAGCAGCCCGAGCATCTTCTGCGTGTGCATGTCAAGCTAGTCGATGGGCCCAGCTGCGTCAAGTAGCTGGTAGTAGGGCAGCATGAGGAGGCCGATACTGAGGTTGATTCCCGCCATTGTGACGGCTGTGTTCGGTGGTTGTTTCTCGAGGTGCGTTCGCGATGTGTTCTTTTCAGCGAGTTGGTTGGTTTATTTTTCGTCGCTCGTCCTAAGTAGATCCTAGTCCTAGAGGTCAAACTACCTCCTTCCGGCCCTCAAGAGCATTCTCCGTTTTCTGCACTTCTTTCTATTTTGGGCACGACCTAGACTTGTCCAACAAAGAATGCGGAACCCCCATGAACACTACGTGGACGTCCCTACCGTCTTCTGGAGCATGCACGAACCGGATGCAGGAGACTCGCTGGTAGCTGGCCGACCTCTGATATTACTCACGAGGCTTCGAGGACTTAGGGCGACCCGGACATCCCTACCCACCTACCTTTAAAAGGTGCAGCTTGCATTTTCCATCGACTGGACTGCTCCTCACTTACCGTACACGGCTTTCCGGTTTTCCGATCCTTCCCTTTGGTCATATCCTACCTCCCCCATTCCGCAAATCGTGTTTCGAGGGTGAAGATTAATCCTAGAAACCAGCGTTCTGGCGTACGTCTGCCTCGGCTTGCCGACTTGAATCCGCAGGGCTTGAATATTCAACCAACGATCGTCCTTTCATTGCGGTCCTTAGCGGATGTTGGTTCGAGTCGGCCAGTGCCGCTCGCCGTGGAAGCCTGGAAGTGAAGACTCGAACGCGAGCAGGGAAAGGGATCTACTCGTCCTCGACCCAGTTCGTCCTCCCAAATTAACTGCCATCAGCGAGGCCAATACGACCGACAGCAGCTAGAGAATAGAAGCGTAGTTTGCGGTGATATTTGCGCCTTGTTGTCATTGGTTCTAAGATGCTACATTCCCATTCTCCAGGTCCCTTGCGAGTAAATCTACGCCCATATCGACCCTTTCCAGTGCATCCGAGATGTGAAAGCCTCATTCGTGAATGCGATGGGTCGGAAGTAACCCTCGCGAGTCAAAAGTCAAGTAATGTCTGCCAAGCTACATACCTGGTACATTAATCCCTACGAGCATTGAGAATCGCGCTTCGAAGTGCTCAAGATGTATTGGATTCATGGCCATTCGCGCAGACGAAAATCCTCGAAAGTACAAGGTGTCGTCTTGACCAGCATCCTGAGCCAGCAGCAGCTGTCCAAAAACGGAGTCGCGGGCCGGAGATTGCACGAAAGATGTTTTGAAATTTCTTCTCAATTTGTGGCCGCATAGAAAGACGGCAAGAAGATGAGAAATTCGCCGCTCTTACAACCCGGACGCCTTGTTTAAGCTACTGTCCAGTGCCGCCTCGAAGCATGTGGTCGTAAACTTCAAAGAGGATGGACTCGGCGATGACCGTTAACAAACGGTCCTTTGTTACACTCTTTTTTTAAAACCCCCCCCCTTTTGGAACCACCAAGCGATCTTTCTCCCCCCGCCTCTCCTCTCATCATATCTCACACAGGTAAGAGCGTTCATTGTCCATATGATAAATGAAAGAACACTCACGCGTAAATGCACTAGTTGCCAGGCTTTGTTTTCCTCGATCCAACTCGACATGTTCGACATGCGCCACCCGAAGAAGGTCAAGCCCTCGTCACACGGAAGGCAACCACGCGCAACGTGCTTGCGTCAGGATTCTCCTATCCTGAAGCTTCCCGTCGAACTCTGTTGAATATTTTCGATATGGCCGATCCGCGACCAAGTTATGCAACATGGAAGCAGTACATCAAAAGGCTTGAAGACAAAGAAGATAAATATGAACGCCGCTATCCTCACGAATGCAAAAAGCCACCGCCACCCCTACATTACCCACATCACCTTGCTGGTGTCTGCGAACACTTTCATGACATACTCCTCGACTCGCCACGCTTATGGACGACTATTGTCGTCTTCCTTGATTTCGAACTCATCGAGACCATATCCGACCTGAAGATGTCCCTCCGGTTCTCTCAAGATTTTCCCTTGGACGTCTCAGTCGATCACTGGCTGAAGTCCATCCGAGACAGAGGCTTCTGTGATGACGAGAACATAGCGAGTCGTGCAGTCATCAAGATATTGCGTCTGCATTTCCATCGGTGCAGAACTATCGAGTACAGCGCCGTCTTAGGCACTTCGCTACCCTCTCCCTCAAGAGATCTTTCTGCCCTTTCGTCGACGCTCGAATCCCTGATTCTCAAGTGCAAGTTCGACGACGAGCACCCGAACGGCATACTTTTTGGGGAGGATCCCGCGCCAATTCTAGACCTCGCCTCCTCTCCACTTATGAACCTCGAAGACCTGTATCTTTCTGGCTACACCGTCATGGACGCCTGTCGAAATGCTCCGCAGCTCGTCCAGGCAGCGCAAGCCACCCTCATTCTTCGGGACTACCAGGCTACCAGGAGTGGCGAGCCCGCTAAGCAAATAGTCCCACATCTTCTCAAAGCGCTAACTCATGCCCCTCCCCGCCACATTTTTTGGAGCCGTGACGTCGTGCTGTACGATATTGACGTCTCACATTGGCAGGCGGGTATGCTTTATAAACCGTTTTGCATGCAAGGCGTGGCGACCTTGACTCTAACTGGCTTGGAGGGCGGAACCATGAGCAACCTGCTTGATTACGTGGATTTCAGCGACGCTAGCCTTCTCACTGTCACGCGTTGCCACATTCCAGAGGGGGTCAGGAGGTTTGGCTACGGGGAGCAGCTTCACCTCGACGATCTCCGTGGATGGCCAGATCTAGTTGATTTGCTGGAAGAATGGAACGGCCTACACCTTTCGATTATGAGACATGCTGGGCCGTTGGACCTCATCCTTCGCCTTCTGGCCAAACGTCGCAAGGCTGGCAAATGCAGCATGAACGAACTCCTGCTCGATGACTGCACAAACTTTTCGGTGAGGGCGATGAAGAGGTTATGTAAGTCCAGGCGTCCAACGGACATGGATAACGTTGCCGTCTGTGGCATTGGGCCGGTGATATCGACAGAAGAGAGGTGTTGGTTTGAGTCCGTGGATGTCATGGACGGAACACATGATGGATGAAGGAGGAAATTCTTTTGTGGCCGAGTGATATCTCAGTTTGGTGGGAACCAGTGAGTAGTGCATTGTTGACGATGAATTGATTACTCTTAGGCCCGACTTTCTCCACGACGCCTATTCCACAAAGCACTAAATATCTTTATAAACTGCAGGCAAACGACAATATTGTACAAGTTTGATCACGTTATATTTTCTTATGCTGCTGATTTCTTTCAGAACACCTTCGAGAAACGAACGAACCACCCCCCTACTGCTCAATCGCAACACTCTCGAACTTGAAGAGCTCGTCGAACTGGCCGTCGTTCAAAAGCTTCTCGGCATCGGCGAACTTAGTGTCTTCAGGGATGCGGTGAATCCTATGACATTAGCCTCCATGCACTCGCTGTCGTCGTCGTCCGCACGGGCCCCGAACTTGACAGAGCGGCGTCGAGAACGCGTGTCGGCATCCCAGGCAGCCGCTCTGGCGGCGACCCAGCCAGGACCATTGAACACGCTGAGACCTGCAAATTATTCTATAAGCTACACGCTCTTTCAAGATTAGGCCCGACTTACAGACGCTCCCGGAAGACGAGCCCGCCGCACCCGTCTGGGTGTGGCACTGGTCGCCGTACATCTTCCCGAGCTACCAGCCGTGCATGCCCTGGAAGAGCGTCGACCAGCCGTAGGCGGCGGGGTACGTGCAGCATACGCCCTCGCGGATGCCCGCACAGCAACTGTAGTTTCCCGAGCACCCGCGCGAGGTAAAGGCGCAGATGTCGGCTGCAGAAGCCAGGGTGCTCGCGATGAGGAGGCTGAGGGCGAGTTTGGAGGCAGAGAGCATTGTGAATTTGGATTTGACTTGGGGGTTGGGTGGCAGCGGTGGTGTTCGCTGGAGGTTGAGAGCGCAGAGGAGGGGTTTAAATATGTTTTTGTTTTTTCTTAGTCGATGCAAGGAGGAGAAAGTGAGAAGTGTCTCTGCGTCTCGCCCGAGTCTCTTGTTGGAAAAAGCTGACTTCAGTCAACTTCATCCTGTCGTCGGAACTCGCTATTGAATTTGAATTTCGAGATGGGCTCATTCGTCAGGGCAGAATGGTATCAGATGATGCATAAGGAATTTGAAGAAACGCCCTCGGGACACGGGCTCTGACGACTATCAGCCTCTCTTGAAGATTTTACACCTAAAAAATCAAAATATGCTCGTAATCCTCCCTTATGTTGCGCCCAGCAGCCACCTGTTCAACGTTTTCCGTCTCAAGTGATGAGTTCGTCGCTTATTGTGTCAAGGAATTGAATAGAGAAGAAATTTCAGCCAGCGTCGACAGATGAACGGGTGTTCCGACAGGACAGGATAAAAAATCAGCAATTGAATGGCGCAAAGGAGCTCAAGATTTGCTTCGACTCGATGGGACCGCTCTGCTGAATCCAGACTTCCACGTTCAGGATGAGGTCCTCGCAGGAAGTTTGTGCAGCGCAGACGAAGGACTGCCAGCATCACCGTAAACAGAATAATGTAGCAGCAGCCGGATGTCTGTTTTTATCGTCGATTAGAGAACATCGACAAAGATGGCCGCCTTCGGTGAAAGTCGCCCTTGAAAGGCCCAATTCCAAGAAGATCATGATCAATGGAAAATGCACTCTTCGATGATCCCTTGCTTCTAAAAGTTATTCTTGACGGTGAACGACAGAAATATGGAGTGAAGGGCAGAAGTACACGCGCCGAAGTCGACCAGAGTGATGTCTTGGTCCGGTGACCATACAGTGGACTTCTGTCTGACTGGGTAGAAGTCCTCAGTGAGTACCCGATCGTGACTTTGTAGAAAATTCACTCAAGGCACTTACCTCTCGTCCAAAGATAGAGCAGAAATGACTTCGCCTGACCAATAAGACCCAGAGAAAACCGAGTGTGAAGACATCCCGATGGTCAGCCTTTGAGTTTGATAGTCATCCAATAAATCGACGACGATGAGACGCTGTTCTGATGAATTTATGATGTATGAATAGAGGAGAGGGAATAAAGAGGTCTTGAGTGCCTTATAGCCGAGAACTTGAGACCCGAGCAAGTGTTGTGAAGATGGGATCGCAGGAAGCAAAGATTCAAGAAATGGTCAAAGAAAAGTGAAAAGTGTCGGCAAATTCCGATGGTTACGTGGGCTACCTGGTGTCAGCGTTCTTCTCATGTCCCGATACTCTTGCTCAGCGCTCAGCTCTCACCAAGTGTTGGATTCCGGCTGGCAAACACGATCCGAGCCCTCTCCGTTTAGGCACCCTGACCCCTAGCGCCCCCATCGGACCACTAGTATGTATCTCTCGTCTTTTCATTCACTTGTGTACCTACGGCGTTCCTCGCCATGCATTTTCCCTTTCACTTTCTCCTGGGATATTCAATCCCATTTTCTCCTGTTTTACTTATATCCTTCGAGTACTCTATGGACACAGTAGCTACTCAGTATATAAACTATGGACTTGCATTGTCTCCCCTCAGCCGTTTGCTACCCAAACGACTGAGGTGAGTTTCCTACTTTTATCTACTTTATATGTACTTATGTTGTCACCTAGCTTTTCGTGCTAGGTAACTAATTTATCCCTCAGCCGTTTGCTACCCAAACGACTGAGATTTTCGTGCTAGGATTCTTACAGGTTATGGGCCCCGGTTTCCGTGCCTAAAAAAAACAAGATTTTATTCACTTACACATCTGTCTACCATGTCTACGTCAACCACTTCGCTCTCCGACTCTCTGCCATCTTCCGTACCTAAGCTCGATGCCACTGGCTTGAACTGGGCCATCTTCTCGGTCCGTTTTCAGGATGCCATCGAAGCGAAAGGCTTTTGGGGCCACTTTGACGGCTCGAAACCCCGTCCACCTGTTGTCACTGTTACCGCAGAAGATGGGACCACAACGACAACCGGCGAGACCGAGGAGGCACAGTGGCTCAAGGACGAGCGCTCGGCGAAGTCGTTGCTGACACAGAAGATCCCTGATTTGACGTTGATGCGTGTCTATGCCAAGGCCACCATCAAGGACCGTTGGGACGCCATCAAGGTCGAATACACAGAGAAGGGCGCGTATGCTCAGACCGAGCTCTGTGCCAAGTTCCTGGACTCGAAATGCCCTGATAAGGGCAATGTCCGAGAGTTCCTAGGAGGCCTTCGTGTAAAGAAGGAAGAGCTGACGAAAGTGGGAGTCGACATTGACAACAAGGACTACTTGTCAACGATAATCACATCCCTCCCTCTATGGCTCTCCAGCTTCGCATCAGCACAGCTTGCATCTGCGCGCATGTTTGCTGAATCTCGCACAATCGACCCTGACGTCCTGATTGGTCTTCTGATCAAAGAAGCCGACCGCCAGAAAGCGCAGCGAGCATGTCGACATGGTGGTGGCAAGTCGAAGGAGGAGGACCGTGATGAGGCGATGTCGATGGTGCCGTCAAAGGGAAAAGGGAAGGCAAAGGGTGGTGGAGGCAAAAAGAAGGACCATATCGAATGCTGGACCTGCGGCGAGAAGGGTCACTACCAGAATAAGTGCCCAAAGGCTGACTCTAGTGAAAAGGGGAAGAAGAAGGCGAAGGACTCACTGAAGCAGTCTGGCAGCGCGAATGCTGCAGAGACGGACGACGAGGAAGAAGGTGCTTGGGCAGCAGAGGAATCCGACGCCGAAACGACGTCTCATGCCTCCATGCCCAGCTTGCAGACACGCACGACATCCTCCGACACTTCCAATGGCGACTTCTATTCCGACAAATCTTCCGACGACAATGGAGACCGTTTCTCTGAGGTGGCTGAAGACACAGATGAGTATAACGACTCGGAATGGGAATTGGACAACATACCTGGATCCCCATCCGATGACTACAAGTTCATCGAGCAGGAAGCTCTCGTCGCCACTGAACCTGCCAGGCCAGGGCAGTATGCCTATGTGTGAGTCGAACTCTTCGACTCTGGGTGCACGCAGCACATCTCGCCGTACCACGAGCAGTTCAAGACCTTTGAGGAGATACCCCCAAAGACCTTCCGCGCTGCCAACAAGCAGTCATTCAGTGCAACAGGCAGAGGTGAGATGGTGATCGACATACCTGATGGTGTCAACTCCTTGCAGCTGCGGCTCACGGAGGTCCTTTACTCTCCGGAAGTGGGCTACACCCTTGTTTCCATTGGCTGTCTTGACGAAAAGGGCTTTTCAGCGACGTTTGGCAGCGGAAAGTGTGTCATACGCAGTCCAGAAGGCGAACTCGAAGGGGCTGTACCGAGTCAAACATGAGCTCGATTCAGCGAATGCAGCAGTGGAGGCACTTACCTTGGACCAGTTGCACCATCAGTTGGGGCATATCTCGCCCCGGATCACCCAGAAGCTCGTCAATGACAAATTCGTGACAGGCATGTGCTTGGAGCACACCGTGTCTGGCGAGCCTTTCTTCTGCGAGTCCTGTGTGTACGCAAAGGCAACGCGCAAGTCAGTTCCGAAGGAGCGAGAAGGCGAGCGGGTGGCAGAGTTTGGCGGCGAGGTGCACAGCGACTTGTGGGGACCGGCGCCTGTTGAATCCAAGGGCAGCAAACGTTACTACATTACGTTTACCGACGACAAAACGCACCTGACAAACCTTTACCTCCTCCACAAGAAGGACGAAGCCTTCACAGCCTACAAGGGCTACGAGGCGTGGTGTGGCACCCAGCTCAACGCCCATGTCAAGGTTCTTCACTCAGACCGAGGGGGAGAATACCTAGGCAAGGAATTCACCCTCCACCTCAAATCCAAGGGCACGGAGCAAAAGCTCAACGTGCATGACACACCCCAGCACAATGGAGTTGCCGAACAACGCAACCGCACAATCGCAGAGCGCATCCGGGCTCTGCTGCACTCGAGCGGCCTTCCGAAATCCCTTTGGGGCAAAGCCGCACGACACGTCATATGGCTCATGAACCGCACTCTGACCAAGGCCATTAGCGGAATGACACCCTACAAGGCGGCATTTGGCAGGAAGCCCAACCTGCGGCATGTGCGAGAGTGGGGCAAAAGGGTGTGGGTGAGGATTGAGGGGGGTACCAAGCTGGGAGGGCGAGTTCGCGAAGGGCGGTGGATGGGCGTCGACAAGCAGTCGAAGGGCGTGTGGGTGTATTGGCCTGACACAAAAACGGTCAGCGTCGAACAAAATGTCTACTATGACGAGACGTGCAAGTCTGGCTCTCATCTCGAAGGGGAGGAATGGGATGGGTTCAACGAAACGAAACCAGACTTATCCATAAATTTGACTGCAGAACCTCCTCCATCAACTTCTTCAACTTCTAATCAGACCGCCCAACCTGCCGCCAGTGCCCCACAAGCTCCAGAACGCGATGAGTCAGCGTCTGAGCCCGACGAAACTCCCTCCACACCGAAACCCCGCGAAAAGCGTGTCCAAAAGCCTTCACAACATGTTCTTGACATCATCGAGGGCCGTGCCGTGTCGTCGAACCTCCCCAAAAGCCCAAAACTTTCTCCGGGCGTGCAGGTGCCAACTGAAATGCTGAAGGAGCAAGTGCTTGAGGGGGAGGGCACATCAGATTGGATGATGGCCGCGGATTTCGTCGACGAGTATGCGTTGGTGGCGGAAATCAGCAAGACAGGCATTGGAACCTCGAGATGTGAAGGAGGTGATGGGCCAGCCAGATTGGCCATTGTGGGAGAAGGCTATCCAAGAGGAATTATCAGTCCTCAAGGCAGCTGGCACATGGGAACTGATGGACACACCTGATGGAGTCAACATTGTAGGCTCCAAGTGGGTTTTCCGTGTGAAGAAGGACGCAGCGGGCAACGTCGTTCGCTACAAAGCGCGTCTCGTCGCGCAGGGCTTCTCGCAGGTGCCAGGAGTTGACTACTTTGACATGTTCGTGCCCGTGGCTCGTTTGGCTTCGATTCGGGCTGTTCTCGCGATTGTGGCTGTCAACGACTTTGAAATTCATCAAATCGACATCAAGGGAGCATACCTGAATGGAGTACTCACCTCTGGCAAGGTTATCTACATGCGGCAGCCGCCTGGGTATGCAGTACCCAGAACATCAAGGACCCAAGTATGCCGCCTTTGAAAAACGTTGTATGGCTTGAAGCAATCGGGTAGGCACTGGTACCAACATCTCGTCGAGATTATTGTAGGAGGGAGAGGTTGGCTACGATGCGACGTTGGTTTACGGTGACTGCACGATCACATGATCTGTGACGCGTCTCGCCTAGGACTTAGCTTTCGGATTCATGCATCGAGACTTCACTTATTCTACATTCCGTGTATCATACAGCCTTGGCCTTTATCCATCCGAACTCATACCGACTTACTGTCATTCACTTGGAGCCCAACCGCGAGGGGATAAGCCAAAACGGCTGATCCTCATCCCGTACATCCCAATACCGTTCTACCGAAGTCAAACGCCACGTCAAAATCCCGTCGTCAGAAGAACGAGGTTGGCCGTTCTAGGGTACTACCACCGAGAAAAGGAGTACCAGGACGAGTGCCACCAGCTTCCGACATCGAGGAAGACATCGCCGAGGTTGGCTATCGTATCATCAAAGAATCAGCAGATTACAACGAACAAGACGACGAGATTGTTCAAGAGCAGCTTACCAGCAACATACACAAAAATCCACCAAGGGCAGGTAGACGAAACCCCGCAAAAACTTTGCAGACGCAAGAAAATCAGTCAGATCAGTCATCCGAAGCGCATATACTCACTCAATCAGCCGCTGCGAACGTGGTTTCCATAAACACGATGTCATCAGACCCTAGCAAGATGCCCACCCCTGGGTCAAAGAAGAGCCCGGACTGGAAAGGGAAGGTAGAGGAGCTGTTGGAATTTTTCGAAGACTTTGAGGAGTTGGCAAAGGTAGCAAGCTTGAAGGACGAGGAGAAGATGAAGTGGGTGTTGAAGTATGTGGCTGAGAAGAGCACGAGGAAGTTTTGGAAGTCTCTGGACGCCTACAGCGCAACTCTGAAGGATTGGGCTGCTTTCAAAAAGGAGGTTTTGGAGCAGTATCCGGGTGCCGAGGAAGGCGAGGCATACACTGTGCGCGACTTGGAGAAATTGACGAAGGCGACAGCTGAAAAACGCATCAACACGGAGGAACATTTTATGAAGTATTACTCACATTTCAAGCCAATGGCGAAGTTCCTAGTTGCCAAGAACAAGATCAGCACACTGGACAGTAATCGGTACTTCTGGAATGGCCTGCCCAAGGCGACGAGGAAGTTGATTAAGCAACGACTCGACATGACCGATGCTGCCAGAGATGTGAAGGTTATGCCATCAGTGGAAAACGTCGTCAAAGCAGCACGGAGGGTGTTGGGGGAAGATGCGTTGGATTCGGACAGCGACGACCCGATTCCTGTACGAGGAAGGAGGTCAAAGAAGAGCAAACGCAGGCGCTCAAAGAGCAATAGCAGCTCATCAGATTCTTCAAGTGATGGCGATGCTTCTGCGAATGATTCGTCTGATTCTGACAGTGATAGCGACGATGGTGTGAAGAAGAAGAGGAAGGGGAAAGAGCGGACACGGAAGGTGGAGGTAAAGGAGAAAGTTGGGGAAGAGGTGGAAAGATTGACGAAGAAGCTTCATGGTCTAAAGGTCGGCGACGTCAATTACGCAGCAACATACATCGAATTGGTCAGGCTCGCACCTATCGCCGCATCTGTCATTCCGAAGCCTACATCTTCCGTCTGGGGTCAGACAGAGAACCAAACCTCAACATCAGGAGTCAACACAGTGCAAGCGCCACTTGCACCTCCTCGACGGAAGCCTTGCTATTTCTGCAACAATTATGGCCATGTTTTGCGGGCTTGTCATTGGGTAGAAGACTATGTTGCTGCAAAGCGGGTGGTGTGGAAAGACAACCTTCTCTATTTTCCTGATGAACGAGGTGGACAGGCAGTTGAATTCAACCAACAAGGACTCAAAGTAGTGGTCGACAAGGCTTTTGGCGGACAACTCGAGAGGGCACGCGACAGACCCCCGCACATGGCCACAACATCTTTCGTAGCTGTAACGCCAGTCAGTGCAACCTTTGCCACGATGGAGGAGATTTATGATAGTGAGTGCAAAGGTGAGGAGGAGGACGAGATTGCATTGATGGAGGTTTTCGAGGAGCTGAGAGAGGCAGAAGCATTTGTGATGACGAGAGGAAAAGCAAAGGAGTTGGAGAAGCAGAAGGCTGATGAAGAAAAAGGGACCACTGGAAGAAAGGAGAAATCAGCCAAAGTATCATCTACGACACTGGAGAAAGCTTTTACCTATGAATCAGCAGCGGCGGACCCAGACGCAGCATCCAAAATGTACGACCGCATCATGAAGACACCCATTCACGACATGACTGTCGGCGACCTTGTTTCGCTGAGTGGTGACCTGCGTAAGCGCATTGTCGAGCAGTGCCGCACGACAAAGACACCGGTTACGGTCAATGCGACTGCTGCTACAATGAGTGTCCAGTCTATTCCGCTCGAATATTGTACGCCATTGCGGGAGGTGGCTGTGAGGGTGGCAGCAAAGGTGGATGAGAGAGCGTTGTTGGACGATGGTTCAGAGATTGTGGTGATGCGGAGGGATCTGTGGGAGGAGACAAGACACAAGGTCAATATGCGGCGAAATATGATGATGGAGACAGCGAATGGCGACTTGGAGAAGATGGAGGGTTGTGCTGAGTTCATCGAGGTGGAGGTCAACGGCTTGAAGACATGGGTGCACGCCTTTGTGGTGCCTCAAGCCCCATTCCGATTGTTGCTCGGTCGACCATGGCAGAAGAGTGTCCTGCTGCTGAAGGCAGAGTTCGAGGATGGCAGACTTCATGTCACAATCCACAGCCCTTTGGACCGTTCAAAGAAATGTGTGGTTGAAACGAAGGAGAGAGAGTCGAGTGGAGGGAAAGGTCAGACATTAATGTTCCGATCTAGGGAGGATGTGTTGGAGGCTTGGAGGCGGTGGAGAGAAGGCGGATGTGGTAATGGGCTGGAGGAGGAGCCAGAAGGGGGTGAAGAGGTCAACATTCTCAGGAAAGCATCTTCGATGGCATATACGGTCTGCTCGGTTGTCAGTCCTCATCAAATGTTGGGAGATTCACTACAGCCACCATTTCCGACTTCCTATGCCAACTTCATCCTAGGAACAACTTTCGAGGGAGGCCCAACTGCGCAGACCTTGGCATACAAGAAGGTCGGGAGGAGGATAAAGCCGGTTTCGACAACGATGCCTGAACGCGCCAAAGTCAAGTGCCATTTTCCCGAGGATCCGCTGGCTACACTACCAGCAGTG